TCCTTGCCCCTCTCCCACTCCCAGTTGTCCAACCCTATGTCTAGGAACCTCTCTGGGTCCTCTGGCCCTGGTAGTGGGTCCTCTGCTCTGCTCCCAATCCTCCCCTTCTCTCTAAGAACACTCCCCAGGCCCCCAGCTGTGAGTGACTCATCAGGTACAGCAGCATAGGGTGTTCCTGGATGGAGACGAGGTAGGGGGATGAGGAACGGTGACAGGATATAAGAAATTCAGAGAGCAGGAGAAATCGGAGAAGGCAGCAAGCTCATTGCCCTTCCTCCCCAACTTGGAGGCTAGATCTTTAGACAATGTCTGTAAATAACATCAGAGTGGCCTCTGGTACGGTACTTGAACCGTGACGTTCACTCCCCAAATAGAACTTGACTATCTGATCCAGGCATTCCCTGGGCCCAGGGGAGTGGCCAGAACCTATCCCTCCCACTTACGTTACTCTAGAGCCAGGACCCGGGGCATGGGGACCCCCCTCCCCTACCCAGCTCACACATCTATGAATCTGTGAGGTTGTACTGAAGGTATAGTGTTGTGTGACCTTTGCAACACGACCACCATGTCCCTGCAGCACCCGGGTCCCTGTTTTCAACAGTTTATAAGAGAGACAAGTAGTGCTGTTTTTGCCCTGAAAACAGGCAGAGATTCTCATGCCCAGGGAACACCAGAGGGGGTGCAAAGGTCATCTAGGTTCAAGTTCCACAAAAATTCAACCACTCACTCCGCTGTGTTTTGGGTCTCCCAGGAGGGCCTTGAAAGTGCGTACAGTGGGCAGCCGCCGCGGGAGGTGGCTGAGAATAGGGAGGGTGGAGAATGCAGCCAGGGCCATGCAAATTCTGTCCTGTTAGAGTGTGTCTCCCCGCCACCCTCCCTCCGTTTCTCCCACCCTCTAGCACTTTCTGCTCCCATAATCCCTCCTCCGTCCGCAGAGCAGTGGGGTAACTGATGGGTCTGCCATCTGCGGCCTCCTCTCATGCTCCAAGCACCCTGCGCAGGAGTAATCTAAACGACTTGGGTAACCGAGATAAGATCCTTGCTGCTATTAAACATTGACAGGCCTCCTCGTGGTGAGAGTGCTCAGTTGCAGAGAAACTCCTGGACTAGCCCATGGGGAGGCAGGGAGACCACAGCAGCTGGGCCATTAAAAATGAATGGAAACCAACCCTTCTAGGGGCTGTGCCTCTTAAAGTGGCAGTTCTCCTGTTGGCTGTGGGAGAGGCCAGGAGGATTCAGAAAAGGCCAGTAGGCCCAGGCCCTACCCAGTATGCAAAGTCTCAGCTATTTGTGCCCTTCACACTCTGTTAGCTGGGTGGAAAAAAGCATGGGTTCTGGAATTGGGCAGACTGGAATTTGAGTCTCAGCTTGACCCTGTAGCATGGCTTTAGGTACCCTGAACCTTAGTTTGTTCATCTGTAAAATGGGCTTAATACTTACTCAAAAGGTTATGAGAATGACGTGAAATAATGTAAGTTGTCTAGTGCGGTGTTTGGTCTATTGGAAATAATTAAGGCTGGGCATGGTCGCTCATGCAACCATCCTGAGCAACATGGTGTTACAAAAGTTAGCTAAGTGTAGTGGTGTGTGCCTATAGTTCCAGCTACTCAGAGGCCGAGATGAGAGGATTACTTGAGCCTGGGAGACGGAGGTTGCAGTAAGCTGAGATCACACCACTGCACGGCAGGCTGGGCAACAGTGCCAGACCTTGTCTCAAAAATAAATAAATAAATAAATAAATAAATAAATAAATAAATAATAACTTACAAGTCAGTCCCCCCAGCCAGGTGCAATGGCTTACACCTATCCAGCTACTCAGGAGGCTGAGGTGAGAGGATCCCTTGAGGCCAGGAGTTCAAGGCTACAGTGCAATTATTGCATCTGTGAATGGTCATTTTACTTCAGCTTGGGCAACATAGTGAAACCAAATCTTAAAACAAACAGAAAATGTTAGTCCCCTTCTCCCTTGCATCTACTTCTCCTGGAAAGGGATGAGTTTCTTCCCAGACTCAAGTCTCCTCAGGAAGACCCTTTATGGCCTGGTGGGATCTTTTCTCTGTTCATCTCCCTCCCACAGCTTCCAGAGACCCTAATCGCCTTGTCCGCTCCCTTGCCTGCCTTCCTCTGCTAGACTGGAAGCACCTGGAAACAGATATCTTGGCACCATTAATTTTCCAGGATTGGGTCAATGTCCCTTGTATACCAGCTGCTTGGAGAATGTTGAATTGAACTGAACTGACAAAAGCCTTTACAAGATGTATATGAGACCAACAAGTGGACAGCAAATGACAGAAGATGGAAGGAATTAGGGTCATTTGGCTCCGAGAAGATCATCCAGGCTGTCCAAGCTCACGGCTATCTTAGCTACGGTTAGTCTGACATCCTCATTTTACAATGAAGGGGACTGAGGTCCAGAGAGTTGGTGGCTGGGGCAGAGAGCTCACCGGGCTCCTGACTTCTGGCATCATGCTGGAGAGCTGGGGCTGGGACTGACAGGCTCTGTTCCTCTCTGCTGTAAGCAGGACAGGATGACCCTCCCAGGCCAGGTGTCTGGAGAGGTTCTGTGTCTTACTCCCAGTCCCCCAGCGGCAGTGCAGGGTGTGCCTAAACCCAGAAAGCTCTTGTGACTTTGAGGCCAGCTCCACTGTCCTAGGGGCACCTGGAATTTCTGGTTAGCAGGCTGGATGTGCACTTGACTCTGCAGATTTTGGCTCTAGCAATAGAGCCACATACTTCCTTGACTCTGAGAGGTCAAGCATTAAGAGGGAGTGCTTTTGAAGAGGGAAGAGGATGAGCCACGTCTGACAGGGCCAGCCCTTTCCCTGCAGTGCCTGCTCCAAATAACCCACTGATTCAACCTGTCATTAAGTCATCCTGCTATTTATGGACTCTGAACTGGTCTTCCTTGGAACCACCTTGCAGCTTCCTCAGTGGAACGGCCCGGGGCAAAGTTGGAAGGGATCCTTCTCAGTACGGCAGGAGGTGGGAGACCCTTCCCCGGGTCCCAGTTGGCTTCTCTGAGAAGATCTTTATAGACTATTCTGTTGGCTCATCATGAAGATTAAATAACACAATCAATGGGAAAGTTCTGGGTTACAATATAGTTATAATAACCATATGGCAGGATAGGGACTGAGTAAGTCAAGTCAGGGACATCGTGGCCAGGTGAGTTTCTTAGTCTGAAAAGCTCTCAGACCTTCTGCTTCCTAATACTCCCAAATGGCTCTCATCACCCTGTTGCTGTTGATGAATGGCTCCTGTGGTTTTCGTAGTCCACAGGAAGGAACTGAGCATTCTCCTCTCACTGAACCTGGAGTTCAGAGGCCAGGAGAAACATAATATATTATATATAACATCATATATGTAATATATTGATCACACCTATCATCCCAGCACTTTGGGAGGCTGAGATGAGTAGGTGGCTTGAGCCCAGGAGTTTGAGACCAGCCCACGCAACATGGTGAGACCACTTCTCTTAAAAAGAAAAGAAAAGAAAAAGAAACAAACAAAGGTGTCAGAATCAGAGAGAGAATTTCTTTTCATAGCAGTAGAGAAATTAAACTAGGAAGACTCTTAAGTAAAGTCTTTTCTTACAATAACAATTTTGAGCCCTGAATGTTTGGCCCCCAGTAACTCATTATTCAAAAACAATCCTGTGTGATAGATATCATGTAGTTTCCTCTTTATGGATGAGGAAACTAAAGCATAGTGAATATTAGGTAACTTGTTGAAGATAAGATTTGAACTCAAGTGGTCTAGTACAGCAGCCAGAACCTCCGACCACCCATCACACAATTCTGCCTCTATTAGAAGAAGACCACTCTGGGGAGCTTCCTGGGAGAGGAGGAACTCTTGTTACAATAATCAATAATGAATCCAATTTCCAAGGAGATTTCTCTGGACCTTTGGAAGGAGATTCAAAAGCCCTTCTCCATCCCACTTCCAGGTCTGCTTGCTAAGCCAGGGATAAAGCTACCCTGATCTTCTGGAACCCTCTGCTCTCTGGGGCAGGAGGGCATTTGTTTGGCCAGGATTTCCCAGCTTGGAGGCTCACTGGCCCAGCAATATGGGTAGCCCACTGGAGGCGGGCTGTGCCAGTTGGCTTTCAGATGAGAAGCTGCTGGGCGTGTTTGCCCTCCACCACACCTCTGCAAGGTGAGCCTGGGACTGGGAGGGATGTGGGAACTTTATGACTGTCCCTCTCCTTCTCCGCAAATCATTGTCTAAAAGGCTTCCCAGGGCTTGACACTGCTTGGTTCTCTGAGCTCCTGTAGGCAGCTGCCTTTTAGTTCACTATTGTATCCCAGTGAATCCAAAATTAGCTTGATTCACAAGAGAAAATGAACACAAAACCCCTCGGTAGCCAGAGACTGATTGTCTACAAAGTCTTACGTGGTAGAAATAAGGCTTTGCCCCACGGAGCCATCTGGCTGTGTGCCCTCTCCCACACACACTTCCATTGATCACACTTATTGCTGTCCTGTGCTGTGAGGGAACAGACAGGAACTGGCCATGGATCCACTGCAGAGGAACCAGCTTACACTCTGGTGCTACCAGGAAGCAGGCGGAACAGGTAAGACAAACACAAACCATGGAAAAAACGGGAGGAGACTTTCCACGCCTCTCAAGCAACAGGCGCGTTTCCCTGTGCTGCAGGCTGAGTAAGTACGCCCGAGGAGACAGGATGGGGTGGACTCAGAGGCCCAGGGAGGCAAGACTTGGTTTGGGGTTTTCAGGAAGGCAGGGCCACTTGTAGAGATGGCAGCTGGTGGTGACCTGGGGTCTGTGGAGGTGGCAGGCAGAAGCAGCAACTCGTGTGTCCGTGGTGGCACCGTTTACGATGCGCCTTCACAACCACATCTCCTCTGACCCTGACAGTCACTCTGTATGAAGTTTGCCACTGTCGTCTTTCAGAGGAGAACAATGACGCTTAGAGGGGTTTCTGAGTAGCTGTGAACTCAGAACTTCACACTCCCGATCTTTTCCTTGGCCTGCAGTTTGCCTGGCAACATTGTAGGAAGCAGCTCCACGGCGCTGCACCAGCCCTCACGGGGCAGGAGATCTTGATTTCTACAGAGGCTGTTTCCTCCCAGCCTTGCGCAAGGCCCACTGCAGAGACAAAGTGATGTGGCAAAAAGCGTGAGTGCAGGAGCCACACTGGTAAGACCCAGTGGCCAGGACCTGGCACGGTGGCGCACGCCTGTAATCCCAGCACTTTGGGAGGCCGAGGAGGGCAGATCACGAGGTCAAGAGATTGAGACCGTCCTGACCAACATGGTGAAACCCTGTCTCTACTAAAAATACAAAGAGTAGCTGGGCGTGGTGGCGCGTACCTGTAGTCCTAGCTACTCGGGAAGCTGAGGCAGGAGAATCCCTTGAACCTGGGAGGTGGAGGTTGCAGTGAGCCGAGAACATGCTTGGATGACAGAGCAAGACTCCGTCTCAAAAAAAAAAAAAAAAAAAAAAAATGACTCAATGACAGGGCTGCTGCAGTCACCCCACTGAGGGTGAACGGGTGTGGCTCAGTGGCAGGCAAAGTCTGGTCCCCACAGGGAGGAGGAGAGAGGCTGTGGGCAGCCCAGGGGCTGCCCCTCTGTGCCCAGGGGAGTGGGTGGAGGCCTGAAGGGACTGTGCTGAGGTCTCTGGCCATCAGAGGTAAGGGGGAGGTAAAGCAAAAGTCTCTTATTTTTAAACCAATCAATGAGAGGACAGCTGTTGTTTGTTTCCATGAGCTCAGCAGAAGAGGAAATGGTTTGCCTGTGGGGTGAGGGAGGAAGAGAGGGCAGGGTTTAGGTTAGCGCTCTGCCTGTGAGGAAGTGGAATTTGAAACCCAGGGACTTCCCTTTTAGGCAGAATGTTTGCTTTCCCACCAGGAAGAGTGGCTGGGTTCTCTGCTGAGGCTCTCAGAGGTTCTCCCAGCCTTGGGAACTCTGAGTAAACCCAGTCAGCACAATGCCACCCTGCGGGGACGGGCATTACCTGTGTCTGTGTGTGGCGACAGCGGCTGTCCTGTGGTCTGCACAGTGCATGGATGACCCCTCCTTTCCTCCTGTCCTCCCGCCTTCCTCAACCCCTCTATCTCGGAGGACAGAGCCTGCTTCCCCAAATTCTATTGGGGCCACTTTTTCAGGCCTCCATCCCTGAGATTTGCTGGTAGAAGAAAAAGAATCAGTGTGGGCTGAGCTCCTACGATGTGCCCTTCCTGGGTCTGGCAGGGGAATCACAGGACGAATGAATAAGGCATATTCCCTGCCCTGAGGAGGTGTCCATAGGGAAGTCAAAATTAAGCCACCTCCAGAATTCTGAAGTCAAAGGAACACTGTCAACAGAGCTGTGAACAAAATGCTTAAAGCCATGATAATCTACAGAGAGACTTAAAGGGGCGGCGTGGGGTAGGAGCTGGTGCTGAGGATGAGAAGGGAGAATTCGCCTGGTGGAGAACTGATAGGTGGGGGCTGTTTTCAAAGTATTTTCACAAATATTTATTCTCTCGACTCTCACAATAAATAAGCCAGCCAGAAAGTCCTCTCTCCATTTCAGCGATAAGGAAACTGAGGCTCAGAAGGGCTGAGGGTTCCAGCGTAGGGCAGAGCTGGGGTGGAAGCCTCAGTCCTGTGCTTCTATGTCCATTGCTTTTTCTTCCAGGCCAGGCTGGGGTCACGATGGTGGAGGAGGTGCTGGAGTTGATGAGGTACCAGAGTGACCTCAAAGAAAGGTGAGAGGCAGGAGACTTCCAAAGGCAAACGTTGAACACCTGGTGACTCCGGCTAACTCTCCATGTGGTGTCCAAGAGGACTTTTATGACACTACAATCACTGCTAATAGTCATAAAAGTTACTATTTAATGTGTTTATGTTCCGGGTGCGCAAATATTGTGGAAGGAGTGAACATATGTGCAGAATGCTTGATAAATGTGATCTCTTTTCATCCTCTAGAGAACAATATAAGCCAGGCACGGTGGCTCCTGCCAATAATTCCAGCACTCTGGGAGGCTGGGGTAGATGGTTTGATTGAGCTCAGGAGTTTGAGACCAACCTGGGCAACGTGGCAAAACCCTGTCTCAACAAAAAATACCAAAAACAAATCAGCCAGGCATGGTGGTGCATTGCCTGCGGTCCCAGCTACTCCAGAGGTTAAGGTGGGAGAATCGCTTGAGCCCAGGAGGTCAAGATTGCAGTGAGCTATGGTCATGCCACTGCACTCCAGCCTGGGTGTGGTGACAGAGTGAGACCCTGCCTCAAACAATAACGAATCAGTATGATTAAAACTTTTACTTCCATTTCCAAACAAGGATATTGAGGCTCTGAGAAGTCAGGAACTTGCCAGAAGACCTACCAGCAAGGGGCAGAGCTAAAGTGCCATTTGACCCCAAAGCCCAGAGCCATAACCACCATGCAGCACCGTCCAGGCAGAAACACAAACACCTGCCCATTGTTTTCATTCTTCAACACCTTTGGTTATCTTCCAGTCCCAGGCCACTGGCTCTGAGGAAGGAAGGCCCTTCCAGCAGCCTTTAAAATTCCCAGGCATAAAACCATGTTCACCAGCCACCCCAAGGGTAAGCTTCAGGGACAGGGACTGTGCTCACAGCCAAGGCAAACTTGCCACATCCTCGGCCAATGCCCTACCAAGAGGACCACTGTCTCTTTTCACGCCCCAGACTCCCACTCTATCACAGTACCCAGAGTTTGGGGATGGGGTGAGTTTTCCACCCAGACAACTCTCCACCAGGGATAGACTGGACCAGGGGAAGGAGAGAGAGGAAGTAGGTCTCAGAGCAGTGAATGTGGGTGGCTGAGCACTGTGGGTGTGAAGGGATGGTTGGGAGGCCCTGGGGACTTTCCCGGAGGCTGAGCTAGCCAAGTTATTTCCCAGCCCACCACAGGCAGGCACGCGCACACACAATTTAAGGCCAGACGTGGCAGGCCTCTGAGAACAGCACTCCAACAGGCTTTATCTGAGCACACAGCTGGACTCAGAAATCAAAGAGCCTCCCCAACCTACCCCTAGACAATGAAGGCTCCGTGATGAGCCCTGAGTTCTCATTGCAGCTTCTCTTCCTTTTCTGCTTCTTTCTTGGCCTCTGCCTGGCAGGAGGCCTCTAGAAACCCTCCTTTTTCCAGCTGCCTCTCCGTCAGCCCCTAGGCCATACCTTTTTATTGCCTGGTCTGAGGAAAGAGTGGGGAGGCCACTTGGCTAATGAGAAACCAGTCCCCTTACAGCAGCGCCTCTCCTGAGACTTTCCGGGGTCTCTGGAAGCACAGATACCAGTTGTTCTTTTTGTTTGCTTGTTTCAGGACAGAAGAGATTGAGTTTCAAGAGGAGACCTGATTGTCTTTAAACACCCCATGGCAAAATCCCTAGGCTCTGAAGTAAAAATACACACAGCGGCTGTCCATGTACTGTGCGTCCTTGACGCCACCAGGCAAAATGCGCAGGTGTTCAAACACACCTGGACGCCCAAAGGGCAGATCTTCCAAAACACAAATACCTGTGCCCACCCCAGGACAGGGGTGCTCAGGCAGGTGTCACCAGCGCGGCCCCTGGCCCCCGGCTTCCCCTGCTCCGCGCCCCCATTCACACAGAAGCGCAAGGACAGCCCACGACCTTGGATAGCCGCGCTCTGTCCTTGGGGGCTCCCGCCGCATGGGCAGGGGTTAACTCGGCAGGCGCCGCGGCTCCCGCCCGCCGCCCCACGCCTCCCTTCCGCGTCACTTGTTTTCCTGCCCGGCTTTTGCGCCTCCCGCCGGCCGCTGACGTGGACGGGGGCGTCACAGCCTCCACCTCAGCCGCCTGGAAGTGCTTCCCTTATATGGGCACAGACTCCGGAGTGGCCGGGAGGGCCACAGCTGCCAGCTATCCAGGGCCAGGCTCTCCTCTCCCAGACAATGCCCAGGCAGAGGCAGAGGTGACCCGCGTTTGGAAAAAGGACGCTGGCTTCCCCCTCTCCTCCTGAGAGCCAGAGCCCAGGCGGGCAGCCTTCCCGGACACTATCTGTCTGCCTCCTCCCTCTTCGGGTTTCTTCTGAAATGTGCAGAGCTAGATTGAAATGCAGATGACCAGGTGGCCTTTCATGGATGCACTCTGATCGTCCCTGAATGCTCTTGCATCCCAAAGTCCAGGACCCGAAGGCTGTGATGCTCGGCCAGTGTCGGGTGGTAGAAAGGACACCCTCGCCTCTGCCGTGTGGCCTTAAGATTGTCTTATAATTCCTTCAAGCCCCAGCTTCATTCTCCGTAAAATATAGAGGGTACTGGCCTCCAGCCTTGTAAGGATAGATGAGTGTTCTGCTTGGTGTAAAACAGCTTTGCAAGCGGTGAGGTGCTATTCAGACTTACAGGTGGTCACTTCGTGCCAGGGAGGAGCAACTTGTTCAGGTGCCCCCTCCAGAACCTGCCTCTCCCGGGCCACACCTGTGTGCTCTGAGAATGCCCTTTGACCCTGTTGAAAAGCTTCATCTCTGTAAATAAAGTCATCCGGAGTTTGCCTCTTGTGTGCACTGTGGCAGGCTGTTTGTCTGCGCCCTCTGTTAGGAAGCAGGTGGTGAGCACGCCTGAGTTACCCTTCCAGCAGGGAGGGGAACCGCGGGTGAGCGAGCCGTCCTTGTGCAGACGCTTCCCTCAGTACTGGACACTGCACAGGACATGACTACCTTCTGTGGCTGCTGCCAGTAAGAAATCTCGCCTTCCAAATCCAGCTCAGCTCGACATTCCCAGGCCCAACAAGCTATTTCCTGCTGCACCTTGACTCCAGCTCCTTGGTTAATTGTGAATGGGGTTTGCGCAGCGCACTTCTGTCCAGGTTTGCGAATCTGCTGGCGGCTTTGCATCTGTGTCCTGGGTGTGGAAGCTTCCCCGCTTCGGGAACTCAGGAGTGTCCCGAGGGCAGGAACCATTTCTTTCCAATCAGAATGAAAAGCCCACACTCTCCACTTCTGAGGGTGGGGACTAAATCTCCTTCCTTTGATCACTCTAGGACAAAGAGGACAAAAGGTATTCAGGGCCGGGCGCGGTGGCTCAAGCCTGTAATCCCAGCACTTTGGGAGGCCGAGGCGGGTGGATCACGAGGTCAACAGATCGAGACCATCCTGGTCAACATGGTGAAACCCCGTCTCTACTAAAAATACAAAAAATTAGCTGGGCATGGTGGTGCGTGCCTGTAATCCCAGCTATTCAGGAGGCTGAGGCAGAATTGCCTGAACCCAGGAGGCGGAGGTTGCGGTGAGCCGAGATCGCGCCATTGCACTCCAGCCTGGGTAACAAGAGCGAAACTCTGTCTCAAAAACAAACAAACAAACAAACAAAAATTAGCTGGGCATGGTGGTGCACACCTGTAATCCCACTCAGGAGGCTGAGGCAGGAGAATTGCCTGAACCCAGGAGGCGGAGGTTGCGGTGAGCTGAGATCGCACCATTGCACTCCAGCCTGGGTAACAAGAGCGAAACTCCGTCTCAAAAAAAAAAAAAAAAAAAAAAAAAAAAAAAAAAAACTGCAAGACTCCACTGTTAAAGCTACACTGGGCGCAGTGACTCACACCTGTAATCCCAGCACTTTGGGAGGCCTCAGCGGGTGGATCACCTGAGGTCAGAAGTTTGTGACCAGACTGGCCAGCATGGGAAACCCCATCTGTACTAAAAATATAAAAAATTATCCAGGCCTGGTGGCAGGTGCCTGTAATCTCAACTACTCAGGAGGCAGAGGCAGGAGAATTGCTTGAACCTGGGAAGCAGAAGTTGCAGTGAGCCGAGATTGCACCATTGCACTCCAGCCTGGGCAGCAAGTGTGAAAAAAAGACAGTGCTAGGTGTGGTGGCTCACCGCTCCAGCCTGGGCAACAAGAGCGAAACTCTATATCCAAAAAAAAAAAAAAAAGACTGGGCACGGTGGCTCACATCTGTAATCCCAGCATTTTAGGAGGCCAAAGTGGGTGGATCAGCTGATGTCAGGAGTTCGAGACCAGCCTGACCAACATGGAGAAATCTTGTTTCTACTAAAAATACAAAATTAGCTGGGTGTGGTGTGGCATGCCTGTAATCCCAGCTACTCAGGAGGTTGAGGCAAGAGAATCGCTTGAACCTGGGAGGCAGCGGTTGCAGTGAGCTGAGATGGCACCATTGCATTCCAGCCTGGGCAACAAGAGCAAAACTCTGTCTCAAAAACAAACAAACAAAAATAAAAATAAACCAAGAAAAAAACTACAAAGGCACAATGGTATGAGAGTGCAAAGTATGTATTTGAGAAACACTGAGAATGGGTGAATTGAGCTTAGAGGTTGGGCCAGATTGTAAAGGACTTGAAAGCCAAATTAAGAATTAAACTTTCAACTGCAGGAAGCCTTCAGAGCTTTTAAGCATGAAAGAACAAGACAGACCTGAAGTTTGGAAGGAGCTCTGACAGCAGAGTATGGACTGAGGAAAGGTCAGGCAAAGAGACCACTTGGGAAACTGCTGAAACTATCCAAGAACTATCTAAGGGTTGGTGGCTTCGGTGATGCTGAGTAGAAGGTATTTCAAAAGGATGATTGACAGGACTGGGCCAGTAATTGGATATGGGATCAACTCAGGAAGTAGGCCTCCGGGATATCTGTCACCTAATCAGGAAAATCCTCTCTCGCTGGCAGGTGATCACGTATTCCACTAGGGCCCAAGGAGCCGTCAGTGTGGACCCGGATGACAGGTTAAGAGGCAGAGTGGGTCTCCTAGCCCAGTACTCTTTTG